AAAAAAAACCAGGAATGAAATCTGCCATCTCATCTGACTTAGGGAGGAATCTCGCTTTCTCCCACTCACGGTTCCATCCCAAAAAACCCTTCCCCAGAGAAAAACTTCTCGCCCACTGGACTACCTACCTCTCTATCATGTTGCCCGTCTGATGTCTTCATAGAGGTTTGCCTGTCCCCAAATCCTTGCCCATCTATTTCCTGAATGGAAGCTGCATCACTGAGCTCAAAGACCAAGTTTCAGCATCCGGTACTGTGCCCAGCAGAGGTCACTGGCTTGGCAAACCCAATCACACCCAGGGATGCTCTTCCAAGTGTTCTCAGTGTTCTCCTTCCTGAAGGCTCCGATCTCTCCAGCTCTCACGTCTGATTCACTCCCCATGGAGCAGTGTCCACACAGGAAGAGACAGCACAGACCATATTCTTACATCACCATGCACTGTGCCAGGTGACGACAGTCTTAAATGACAGATCTAAGCCCTGCCTCATGTGATGCCTGATACTTCTGACCTGTCTCAGGCTGCCTATGAAGGCTGGAGTCAGAATATAAAATGAGATGCCGTATTCTCGGTAAGCAATTTCTTAGACCCTACTCAAAGCACTCGACTCATATTCTCCCACCAAATCCTCAGATCAGATGGGTATTGTTGCCCCATTTAGTAAATAAGGATGCTTGCGGACATGTGGCTGGGGGTACCAGGTGGTCATATAGAATGAGCTGGCTTTCTGGGGGCAAATATCTTGAACAGTTGAGATCCTATTTACCTGCCTTAGAAGGAGGGATAGGGCACAGGGCGCCCAGGCTGGGTGTGGGGGCAGCTGCTGCTGCAGCTTGCAGGCAGTGCAGTGGGACTGGTCTGGGACTTGGATGGCTGGGGCAGATTTGAGAGGAGGGACTCCTGTTCTGAGAAGACTAACCTCTAGGATGTTGACTCTGACCTTGATGAAGCACATCAGGTCCACCTCCTGGCTTCTGAGTTGTTAGAGAGAACTTAATCATTTATGAAATGTTGCTGTTGATTGTTGTTGAGTTGAGCGTAACTCATAGTGACTCTACGAACAGAAGGCCTGAAGCCTTTCTGTAACTATTGTCATTTATCAAAGTTCATAGTTTCCAGAGGCGTGTTGTTTAGGAAGTGGATGCCATTCCTGCTTCCAATTATGATACGTATGCCTCTCAAAATATAGCTCAAAAAATTCTGGGGCTGTTAAGTGCCATCGAGTCATAGGTGACTTATAGTGATCCTATGAACAAAAGGCCTGAACACTTCTTTAACTTTCATCCTTTCTCCAGGTTCATAGGGTTTGCGGAGGCAAGTTATTTCGGAAGTGGATGCCACTCCTGCTTCCAAGTTTGTTTTAACTGGGGAGCTCCAGCAAATACTGTCGACCATGGGTAACCATTATCGCATTTGACACATCCGTGTCACAGAGTTTAGCATCACAGCAACCATGGGGCTATTAGAGTTGGTTTGTTTTTTTTTTTAAATCAGCCTTATCCTCCAAAGTAGAAGAAATACACTAAATTTGGGAGTATTCTTTTCCTTTCCATTTTTCTTTGATCTAGATGTGGGTCATGGATAGAACTGAGTGCAGCACAATGGTGGATGAGTAGTAACATTTAATGAATTAACATTACAAAACGCTCACACTGCATGCAACCTGTTTTTACCCATTTGTGTCCAAGTTCTTTCCTGTTGGCAGATGGGTGAGCTGAGGCCCCATCCAAAGTGCTTTTCAGTCTGGATCCTTGACCACCAGGCAGAGAGTCCTGAGCACAGACTTGGCCCACTCATGTCCTTCTCTTGCCTTGCACCTGCGCTTGCTTGGCCAGTAGATTCTGCAGGCATGGTCCCCAGGAGTCAGCAGGTCTTGGGGGTCCAGCTGGGCTGGAGGAACAGTCCACACTCCCTGCAGCAGAGTGCCTGGGGCTGAGGGGCAGAAGGGGCAGTCCTGGGTGCACTAGGTGGCACTGCTGCTGTGAAGGACTGAAGGGAGGCTGAGGAAACAGAGGCCAGGAAAGAGTCCAGTTCTAGGAGGAGTCATTGCAAACCAAGTTCCTCCTGATGGTCCCAAGCTGCCGGGCAGTGCTGAGGGCCAAGAAGGAGACAGTGGGTACAGGCAGGCTCCGGTCCCGTATGTGTGACAGGGAAGGCGGTGCAGGGCTGGTCAATGAAGTAAACATGGGCAGATGTCCTTCTGATGGCCAGAACTTCGGGCCACAGGGTGAGAAGAGATGGAACTGGCAGACCTAGGAGAATCAGGGCCAGAGGGAATGCATGGATTATGTCAGAGTCAGCAGAGGGTTGAGGGCCAGGGGCCAGGGCCTGGGTTTAGGGTAGTGGGGCGGGGGCTGGGACAGGACAGGACAGCTCTGGCCTGGGTGATGGTTGAGCCTTCTCAGAAGAATAGCACCCAGTCTTTGTGAAGAGACCTGGTTTTGAAACCTGGCCCTGTGAGCTTGGAGGAGTCCCTAGACTAGAAGCTCACACCTTCCCAAAGTCCCGTCACCTCTCAGTGACAACTCAGCGGCCCTTGTTGAGAAACTCGATCGGGGAGGAGAGGGATGCTGGCACCTGTGCCATGCTCAGCCCAGGTGTGCCATCTGGGGAAGGGCAAGGTCAACCAGGGCCTCTGGGCAGCCCAGTCTTTCTCCCTGGGCTCCCCCAAGGTGGCAGAGGTGGGGAGGGGGTGCTTGGCTCACTGGGCTCACCGCATCACTGGTCCTCCTCTTCACTGGGCTGCTGTTCGAGAACCAGGTCCTCCGTGTCGTCATACTGTGTGGGGAGGAGGGGACAAGAGTGGTCAACACCGCAGCTCACAGACAGGGACGCGGGGGCAGCCTTCTTCTGCCACCATGCAGAGGCCTTGCTGCAGGCTGGGGAGATCCTGCATCCTCGGATCTAAGTCTCTTCAGACCAATGCATTCTAAGTCCTCTTTGGCAAATTCTCTCCTTTATTGGAGACTTTAGGGCGAGACTGGAGGGTACAGATGAGGGGGAGAGAAACTAGTCCCCGTGCCCCCACTTGCACTTGCCTGGATATGATACATTATGCGCCACACCCTGGAGTCGGAGCCTTTGTACCAATTGCCAGGATAGAGCTGCCACATCAGAGGCAGGTTGTACGATGAAGAGACCTGGCTGGGGCACACCGGCTCCCCGAGGGGGATGTTTATCTGCCGCAGGAGGACTTTCAGGACACTGGGCTCCTGCATTGGGGAGAGAGGATAGAGCACAACTCAGTACCACTCGCTGGGACTCCTTGGGACACAAACCAGGGGAGTCCTTCAGGTAAGCAGAACTTAGCTCTGTGAGGCCCGTGTTCAAGTCCCCAAAGCACCCTCCTCCCTGGTCCAGCACTTGGACAGAGCTGGGAAAGCCCTGTCTTCTTCTGATCAGCTGTTCCCTGCCCAGGAAATGGAGCCGGAACTGTTTCCCCTCAGTGCATGTACTGGAATTCTGAACTAGGGCTGTCAACTCCTTTTATAGTTTCCTGGTTATGCTGATGAGGCCAGAGCAGTGCAGGGCTGGACTGAAGCCTGACAACTGGGGGATGTAAAAATGGCAGAGTAGACACTGAGAGAGGCCCAGGCTGGAGTGGAGGCAGCATGCCTGCGGGAGGCTGGAGGCTGCTGGAGCTCTGGGGACACTACAGAGCTCAGGGCTGGAGAAGCCGAGACCCGGCTCTTCCCCTGTGGCCTTCTGGTCTCCCAAACCAATCACTGGAATCCTAACTCAAGGGTGTGAGGTTGGCACCCACACAGGTGCTCTGAGGAGAAGAGTCAACAGCCAGCCTCGGAAACCTTGGGGCAGGCCTACCCTCACGTGAGACCTCCAGGAGTCAGAAGCTACTTGACGGCGCTAAGGACAGCAACCATCCTCTCCTAAACAGTGAGAAAATAAACGTCTGCTCTTTCAAGCCACCCCTTTGAGCTTTTTCTGTTATGGCAGCAGCGTGTGGAAGTGATGACTCAGACTTCCGACTCGTGCTCTCTGGAGCCTCCTTTGGTCTCATGAATGCCTCTGGTGCTTAATTGTTCTGTATTTCAGGAGGCAGCATGTAGCTAAGAACCAGTGGTTTCCTATTGTTACCCTCCCCAAGGTCCTATACATGCTTTACTAATTGTCCTATTTTTACAATAATGGTCTTACGCAGTATCTGTCCTTATGAAACTGCGTTAGTTCACTCAGCATTAAGACTCTCGAGCCTCTCCCAAGTTACGTAGTATTTTTCAAAATGTTGCTCCTGAGAGCTGCATAGTATTCCATCGTGTGAATGTGGCACAATTTCTTGATTCATTCGGCTGTGGTTGGACATTCGGGATGTTTCCATGTTCTTGTGATGGTTAATAATGCTTCTATTGGTGGGTACAGAGAGCAGGGAAAGCAAATGGGAAAGATCAGGGCAAAAAGACAGGGTCATGATGGACAAGGTCCAATGGGGATTGATTTTATGAAACACAATGTTTGAGAGTAATTGTATTCAACACAATGTATATAAACTTTATAAACGAACTAATTTTAAAAAAATAGTGTAAAAGAAAATGTAGATGAATGATTGTATGAAAAACACTGTAAATGAAAGAATGTACATGAATGAAATATAATGCAAAGGAATTATTACATAAAAACCAACACTTTTTTTTTCTTTAAAGAACCAGTTGTGCTGAAGGGAGAAATCTTAACTTCAGTAAGATACTGATATATAAACAAACCATCAGGTATTCACAGAATGCCAACTGATGTGCTTCAAAAAGTGAACTCAATTCTGGAAATGCTCACTTGTGTGTGTCAAGAAGTTTGGAAGAGTGCTTGGCTAATTGACTGGAGGATTTCCATGGAGTTCCAGATCATGGTATTCCAAAGAAAGAAGCTCCAATGGAGTGGGGAAATTATGATACAATACCCCAAATTTGACCTTGTGTTTATTCTGCCTCAATTTAAAAACCAGCTCAGGGACAGATTTGAGGCATTGTACACTAACGAAGAGAGATCAGACGACCTGCAAGAGGATATCAAGAATATCATTTGTGAAGATTGAAAAAGGTCACTGCAAACACAGAAGAGGAAGAAAAGACCAAGAGAGATGTCAGAAGAGACTCTGAATATCACACTAGAATTCTGAGAAGCCAAAGCAAAGGGAAATAATTGGGAAGTTAAGGAGCTGAGCAGAAGATTTCCAAAGGCAGCTCAAGAAGATAAAGCAAAGCACATTATAATGAAATCTGCAAAAAGCTGGAGTTAGACAATGAAAAGAGTTAAACTCACTTGGCATTTCAGAAGCTGAAGAAACTGAAGAACAAACTCAACCTTTGAGTAGCAACCCTAAGAATGCTAATGGGCAGAATGATCTTGGGTGCACCAGAAGGCAGAGGAGTACACGAAGTCATTCTATCAGAACTGGCTGATACAGAAGAAAACAAAAAACAAGCCCCCAGGAATTGACCAATTGCCATGTTTCACAAACAGACGCAGCCCTAGACATGCTCACCAGACTGTATCAAGAAATACGGAGGACAACTGCCTGGCCAACTAACTGGAAGAGATCCATATTTATTCCCATTGCAAAAAAAGGTGATCTGACAGAGTATGGGAATTATCGAGCAATATCACATGCTAGCAAAATCCTGCTGAAGATTTTCCAAAATGGCTCAAACAGTACACTGACAAACATCCAAGCTGAGTTTAGAAGAGGCTGTGATACACCAGAGAAATGTCAATCTGTTTCACGGACTATGCAAAGACATTTGACTGTGCACAACAAACTGAACGGGAATCCCAGAATGCCTGAGTGTCTTCATGCCAAACCTACACTTGGATCAGGAAGCAATCATCAAAACAGAGCAAGGAAACACTGCATGGTTCAACATCGAGAAAGGAGTGTGTCAGCGATGCGTCCTTTCTCCATACTTTTTTAATGTATATGCAAACCAAATTATTTAGGAAGCTGGACTCTATGAGGAGGAATGTGGCATCAGGATTGGAAGAAGACTCGTCAACAACCTGTGTTAAGAAGATGACACAACCTTGCTTGCCGAAACTGAGGAGGACCTGAAGTGTGTGCTGCAGAAGGTCAAGGACTATATTCTCCAATACGGACTAAAGTGCAACATCAAGGAAATGAAGATTCTCACTGCTGGGCCAATTTGCAGCTTCATGCTAAATGGAGAAGAGATTGAGGTTGTTAACAATTTCAGGTTACTAGGTTCTACAGTCAATATATTTGGCACCAGCAGTCAGGAAATCAAAAGATGAATTGCATTGGTAAAATCTGCTGTCAGAGACCTCTCTAGACTGCTAAAGAGCAATGATGTCAGTTTAGAGACTAAGGTGAGCCTGGTTCAGGCCATGGTCTTTGTAATTACTTGCTACACATCAGAAAGCTGGAAAATGACTGAAGATAACAGAAGAAAAATTGATGCCTTTGAACTGTGGTGCTGGAGAAGAGCACTGAACATACCATGGACTGCCAGGAGAACATCTGGGTCTGTTCTGAAGAGGCTGATGTCAAGCTGCTCCTTGGAAGCAAGGATACTGAAGCTTCAACTCATATGCTTTGGGCATGCTGCCAGGAAGAACCAGTCCTTGTAGAAGGACATCATGCTTGAAGGATAGAGGGACAGAGAAAGAGAGGAAGACCCAGGATAAGATGCACTGACACAGTAACTGAGATAATGCGGGTAGGTGTGCAGAGAGAGCGAGACAGGCTCCGGACAGAGGAATTTAGAGATATTGTACATAGCGTCGCTATGAGTCTTGGGCGACTCAATGGCAGGTTCTGGGTTCTGCACCCACCTGGTCATCATGAGATCACATCATCTAGCTTGCGACTTGAGATAGTGGCCTGCTTAACAACTGTACCACTAGGGTTCCTTAAAAGTTAAGACTGACTGACTGAAAAATTAAAATATTAAGAGAAGTATATAAAAAGAAGTCAATTTTCTTCACTTATTTCGAGGCACAGGTCATGGGATGCCCTTTATCTAGTCATATTTTCCTTTTTAACAAGATATCTCCGGACCTCGGAATCTGCAGGCGGCTCTCTTTCCCCCATTCTAACTCCCATCAGCATAGTCTCTCACCTGAACTACTGTAACCCCCCACCTTGTGCTCTGTGCCCAGAAGCCAGGTGAGCATCTAAAGATCACAGCTTGACACCTTCACAGATTCCAGACACAGGAGCAGCCCCAGAAAGCTTAGCCATGACCCAGAAAAGCCCACATTGCTGGGTCCTACCTCCTGCTGCTCTGTTCTCCACCCCTCCTTTGGAAGAGGCCACACTCTGGCCCAGTCTCGGAAACTTCCTCCTGCTGTCCTTTCCTCCTGGGATATTCTCCCCTAGATCAACAGAGTCACGTTCTACTTTAAGGCAAGTCTCTACTGAAAGATATAGAAATCCCTAAGTGACAGCGTGTGCTCCATTACTAATCTAAAGGTTGGCAGTTCAAACCCACCAGTGACACCACAGAAGACAGGCCAGAGACACACTTCTGTAAGGGCTACAGCCCAAGGCATCACCTAGGAGCAGGTCTATTCTGTAATCTGTGGTGGCACCAGGGGTCAGAATTGACTCAACCATCACAGGTCTGGCTTCTGCTCAGATGAACACACAGAGAGACAAACATGAAAAGAAAACATGAGAGAAGTGAGATCAGGTTCTCAGTTATACCAGTTACTGGCCATTGGTTCAATTCACCAATTATAAGAAATAAATTCAGCAAAATACAGCACTCCTTTGAGCTGGAGTGCTAGAGAAGAGTACTGAATATACCTTGGACTACTAAGAGAACAAACAAATTCATCCTGGAGAGGGTGAAACCAGGCTGCTCTTTGGAGGCAAGGATTCTGAAGCTCCGTCTGCCATACACCGAGCATGCTGCTAAGAGGGACCAGTCCTTGGAGAGGGACATCATGCTTGGGAGGGTGGAGGGACAGCTCAGGAAAGGAAGACCCTCGATAAGATGAATTGACTCAATGACTAGGGTAATGGGGGTAGGTGGGTCAGAGACAACAAGGTTGGCTCAGGATAGAGTAGGGTTCAGATATACACAGGGTTGCTATGAGTCGCAGGTGACTTGATGGCATATAACAACAACAACAAAGAAGAAACATGTCTAAAATATAGAAAGTTTACAAATTAAACAAGGAAAAAAAGAAAATAAAGTCTTTCAGAGGAGTCTTGCCTGAAACTGTCCCCTCACACACCACTTTTAAGCTCCCCAGAACTTGTGCTTCTCCCCTAGGGCGCGACAGCTGCTTTAGCAGTGGGGATGTAATGGGTGCCCCAGAGCCAAGACCTGCCTGCCTACCACAAACACTTGACAGTGAGCATTTGTCCAACGAACAGGTAGTTTTAGCTTACTTCCTGTCTGTGAAAGTGAACGACAGCGTGCTTACTGTCCCCTATCACCTTGTAAGGCTGAACTGTGGCAACACTGTTCACCTTGTGTTGCTGTGTGAGTTTCCATATCCTCCCACTGTTTTTTTAGTTTTCATTATTCATCTTTCGATTACTGAGCTAAGTAAACCTTTACATGTGAAGGGTATTGGCTCTTTTATTCAGCCTGTGGCAAATCATCTCTGTCCATTACCTCCTCTAGTTTACTAATGTAGTATTTTCCACATAGAATTTATACTGATTAAGAGGAAACATTTGACTGTATTAGTCAAGAAGATATTCTCCAACCCAGCGATAAAAATATTCACCTACATTTTCCTCAAGCATTTGACTTAAAAAGTAATATGGTTTTAAAAGATATATCTCTATGCACGCTTTGAAATGGTCATGAAAGACGTTAAGAGTCCCAATCCCATCATACATTAGCAATAAAATGTAAATACAAACCTTGGACATGTTTATATTTTTACGCCTTTGAACCGAGCTATTGGAAAAGAACGCTGAAGATCCCATGGACTGGCAAAAAACCAAGTATGTCTTGGAGAAAGCACAGAAGGTAGTCTTTACAGAAGAAGCAACATCATTCTGCCCAAGGAGCTGTCAGTGGGTTCTAAGCACTGACCCTTCTTCACAGCCCGGTGCTTAAGCCACTGCACCCAGAAGGTATAAACACCACATCCTCTGGCAGGAAGGCAAAGACCTGGCTCATGACAGGTTCAATAATGGTTCATTTTGAAATACAGATTTTGGGGGTTTAGGATGGGAAATTATGTTAATTGTCCAGAGATAATTTTGTGCTGTGTTAGATGCTGTAGAGTCTAATACAACCTAAAGAAACTCTCAACAACAGATCTGAGCCCTGTCCTGTCCTGTCCCATCCTCACAATCTCTGACACACTCAAGCCATTGCCACAGTCACTGTGCCAATTCATCTGGTTGAGGGTTTTCGCTGACGCTTCAACTTTCCAAGCTTGACGTACCTCACCAAGGAATAGCCTCTCCTAGCAACATGCCTAAGGTCTGTGAGACAGAGCTATACCAAATTTAACTACAGGAGACACCCTGTACTTTCTCCAAGATATAATTTCGGGTTTTGGCAGTCCATGGGATCGTCAGCATTCTCTTCCAACAGCACAGTTCAAAGGCATCAATTCTTCTTCTGTCATCCTTCTTCATTGTCCAGCCCTCAGAAGCATAGCAAGTGATTGAAAGGACCATGGCTTGAATTAGGCACACCTTAGTCCTCAATCTAACATCACTGCTCCTCAATAATTTGGAGAGGACCCAGACTGAAGACATTCACAGTGAAGATGTCCTACTGCTGGTACCAAAGTTGACAACTTCAATCCTTTTTCCATCTATCATGATGTTGCCTATTGGTCCAGTGGTAAGAAATTTTGTTCTCTGGACCTTGAGATGCAATCCATATTGCTATCACTTTAGAAAGCTGCATTCCGTATTGTACCAGAAAAGTCTGCAATTTGGGACCTCTCCAAATTACTGAGGAGCAAAGTCGTTAGTTTGAGGACTAAGATGCACCTGATTCAGAGTTTTCAGTCTTTTGCTATGTTACTAAGAGCTATACAATAAACAAGGATGACAGAAGATCTGATGTCTTTAAGCTGTGCTGTGGGAGAGGAGTACTGATTATCCCACAGACTGCCAAAAACACAGACAAGTCTAGGAGAAGATGCAGCCAGAGTGTTCTTTGGAGACAAAGCTTCGTCTTACATATATAGGGCTTGTTGCTGGAGAGGTTATTATTCCTTGGAGAGGAGACTGTACTTGGAAAGGCGCAGTGTCAGCGAAAGATTCTCAACCAGGGGAGGTGACAGAGACTGTGGCAACGGGCTCCCATGTGGTGTGTCAGATTCTGTGAGGTTGGCACAGGATGGGACAGGGCTCAGACGTTCAGATTTGTTCAAAGGGCTGCTAGGAGTCCTACGAGGCTTGACATCACCTGATAACAACAATCACCTTAGAGCTGTATCATTCCCATCTTACAGATGAGGAACCTGACACCCAGAAAAGTCCTTAAACAGGACCATGTGCACACTGACCAGGGCCTCTAGGCCCTCCACGCAGGGGTCCCCCCAAGCCTTTGAGCGACTCCTGCCCTCCTTCCGGTCCTCCAGCCTTCAGAACCTGCTCGGAGTGGTTTTATCTGGGAGGCTCCCTGCAGACATCCTCACTCCTGGGCTCCTCCAAGCCCCAGTGGGTCAGGGGCATGGCCAGGCCCCGCACCCCCCGCCAGGACAGCACTGCCCAGGCCCCCAGCCCATGTCCAGTACCTCCAGGACCACGGCCATCCAGCTGCGCTGTTTCTCATCCACATACACACTCTTCTCCCAGAGCCACAGGCGGTTCGGGTGCTGCGAGATGCGTGATGGTAACTCGCCCATGGAGCCCGGAAGTGGACACGCACGTGGACACGTCCGTGCGGAATGCCGACCCTAGAAGGGCCCCGGGAAGCTCCTATTTATAGGCACATGCGGGCGCCCCCAGGTGGAGGGGCGGCTCCAGGAGGGGCTAGCGTGGGGGCGGGGCTTGGGAAGGATGGGGGTGTGGCCTCCGAGGAGGGTGGGGCTTGGGCTAGGCGAGGGGCGGAGCAAAGAGATAGGTAGGTGTGAGGCTCCAGGGAGGGGCGTGAAGCAGCTGTAGTGCTGGGCAGCGATGAGCGAGCCTGAGAAAGAAAGAGGTTTAGAGATGAATGAGACATGGAGAGGAGAGGGGTGCGGAGACGAGGCAGGGTGGAGAGGAGTGGGGCGTGGAGAGGAGGGGGCGTGGAGAGGAGGGGGGCGTGGAGAGGAGGGGGGCCTGGCGTGGAGGGGGGCCCTGGAGAGGAGGGGGGCGTGGTGACGAGAGGGCTGGACAACTCCTTGTAGGATCTCAAGATGGTCCTGAGGACTAGTCCTGGAGTTTCCAAAAGACCCCGTCATTCTTACCCAGCCCCCACACCCTATCCAGGGCCAGTACCTTGCTCTGTGATTCAGGCTACAGTGAGGGTCTTTCCTGGTCTTTTCTTCTGTGGAGATGCTCCTCCTTGGTGTCAGCACCCCAACTGTCCTGAACCACTGCGAGCAGCCTCCAGGCCTGGGCTTTCATACTCCCAGGCTACCCTTCCCCACATCCCCCACCTGTGCCCCTCCACCTCTTCCCCACCTTAAGAGCCCAGCCCAGCCCAGCCTGGGCTTCCAGGCCTCACTTTCTGCTGGTGCTGGGGACCATTGGAACCTTGAGTTGGAAACATTGTAGCTTTTGAAGGACCCCTCCCCCCCACACCCTCCCCTGCAGCCACATTTTCCACGCTTTGGCCATGCTGTGGTCTTCCTACCGCGATTGTGTAAAATGGTAGTGAAGAAACACTGGCCGACCCCATACAGGCTCTGAGTTCATTAGAGAGACGCCAGCTGAAAACGAGGAAGTGAAAAGAAATCCCTCTCCCCATCCCAAGATCAATGGATTGGAAAAGTCACTGGGTCATGTGGTCAAACTGTCTCTGGAGAGTCACAGCAAATAAAAAAAAAAAAAAATCATTTCACGTTGTCCTGGAGTAACACGTGCCCTTTAAGGCAATTAGGAGAGTAAAATAGGAGGGAAAAGGCGCCAAACAGTTCGCGCTTTCTCGCTCAAACAGCAGCACAAAGAAATGATCTCCGTCCTGGGCGTTGCCTCCAAGCTCTCCTTCCTGTCTAAATTAAAAGAAGAAAAGAACAAAAATGCTGTCAAGTCAATTCCCATGGGTAGAAATGATGTGGAAGTCCCTTTCTCCGGGATCCTCAAGGCTGGAAACCTCCATCACCCAGGCTTTTGTTCTGGGAAGCCTTGAGGTGGTTTGAACAATCAACCGTTTTGTCTCCCTGTAGAAAACCTTCCTCTTATTATGCTTTCCTTGACAGCTCTCTGTAGCTACTGTGTGAGGTTTGGTTTGGTTCTTTTCCTTTGATTCTTTTGTTCTGTTTTTATAAATTGACATTTCCGGTCAAGCCTACGTCAACCAAGTCCTTACACACCATTTTTCTAACTGTATGTGTGCTCCTTACATTTTCTGTTTGGGACAATTTGTCCCAATATATGAGATTTTTTTTCACTATGCTGTTGCACGCTTGATGGGTGAAAGCATAGTGTAAACTAGAGTGTGAACTTTATTTGAAATGTACTTGGAAACCAGAGAAGTCTGTGTGACTCCCTTCTCTGTGATAGTGTCACATTGTGGGCATCTGGAACAGAGCCCAGACATCTCCACGGTCCCGTGAAACCATTTGTACCCCCTCAGGGCATCCTTGTGTCTGATTGGGAGCTAAGAAAGGCACTGGTGGTCTTTTGGAATGTCACAAAGGTGAAAGTGAGTTTGAAGTCTGATGCCCTGGCAGCACAGGTGTGAAGCGATTTCTCTGCCAACCTAGAAAGTCTAATTCCCAGAGCTGGGTAGGCTGAGGTCCGGCGATATAATCACATTTAGCAGGAACAAGGCAGAAGACTGAAGCCAGGTAAAGCTGGAGTCGGAGGAAGAGATGTGACCCTCGCACACTTCTTCCGGGAGCTGTCCCTGGTGGGGTTGGCATTTCATATTCCAACTGGTGACTTCTCACCAATTGCCCTGATAGTCACAGGAGTGAGATGAGCTACCAGGCCCACTACTTTGGGATCAGAAATGATGGCAAGCCCAGCAGAACAGTGCACCCGGGTGGCTTCTTGTCCCCAGGAAGGGGCCCTGGAGCCAGGGTGACCCTTGACCCAGTACTGTCATTCTCCTCAAGCCCCCCTGGGTTTGCTGATCTAACTTGCCCCTGCTTTGTTTTCTGAAAATCAGAATCTCACTATCCTTCTCTTTCAGAAAAATAACCCTCAAAACTCAATTGTCCGCCCTTGTGTTGGCCCCCATGCATAGCAGCCCTTCTCTGAGCAGTCCGTTTCTTTGCAGGATTTAGACAATTCTCTGAGAAGGGGATCCAAAAAGGAGAATAAGGGTGGCTGGGAAATGGAATAGTTTCTGTGGTCTTTGCATCTTTTTCATGGAAATGCCACAGAAAAAAGAACAATAGCCTTTGTGTGGTCTGGGAGACTGGCGAGGGGAGTGGACAGGGAGCCTCACCAATGTGGTATCAGCACCATCTTAGGACTTCCAATCTGTTCTTTTGTAACTTTGTCTTTTAACAGTGCAGTCTCCAAGATCCCCTAAAGTTCACCAAGTGGATTTTCACAAAGAAAGTTGTACACACTAATCATTCCTACTTATTTTGACAGAATCCTTGATGGATGTGCCCATGTCCTGAACTGGGCTGACACTGACTTTGCCTCTACCACCAGGAGCTTGGCAAATTCGCCTCTATCTGATTCAGCCTGAGGGCAACACTTTTGTGACATATGGACCAAGCTGGGTGCTGCTCTTTCATCCATGAGCCATTCATTCTGCTGTTACCCCTTTCTGAGAATTCGTCCTTCCTGAGACCCATCCTCATCTCAATCATGACAAAGTAGCCCGTTGGGAAGAGAGAAGGCTTAAGGCGAAAATATGGACAGGCTCCTGACGTTATTAGTTGAGAAAAGTTTTGAGCAGAGTGGACATTGCGGACTCAATGGACGTCACTCTTTGGGAGTGAGGAAGCCATTCTTGTCTGGGCTCCAAGAAGGAGCAGAGGGTGAGTGAGTGGGGCCATCAGCGGCATCTAGCATCTTGCTCTCTAGGGTGGCAATTCCCTGGGTCAACAGCATTGGCATCACCATTTACAGCTTATGAGAAATGCAGAATTTTGAGCCCCTCTGCAGACGTGCTGAGTCAGAATCTGCATTTTAACAAGAACCCTGAATGAGTTGTAGGTACATGAGGTTCTGGTCTAGTGGGGGGTTTAGGAGGGAGTGTTGGTGGGTGCCTGCCTCATTCTACCAGTGCTCCCTGGATTTGTGTATGACATAGAAGTTGGATATGTATTTCTTTTTTTTTTCTTTCTAATAGTTTGATGTCTGGACGTGTGTTTCTTTACTGTATAGTTTTAGGTTATAATTTGTTCTACTGAAATCCTTTCTAATGCATAATGTTTTTCTCTTAATAGAAAATCTTGGCAATTAAGGTCGTCCTAAACAACGTTAGTGATTGTAGCTAATCATAATAAGTTTATGGAGAGTGTACTCAGGTGCTCCTGCCTCCAGACGCCCCCTACTCTAAATGGCCCTAAACCATTAAGCCCGTGGCTTGCAAAGCTAGCCGCCTGTTAGAATCACCTGGAAAGGTTTGATTACATACCTGTGCTTGGACCTCGCCCCAGATCAAGTCCATTAGAATTGGGGCAGTGGGGTTTGTGCATGACCAGGGTCTCAAGTCACTGCACTAACATTTGGGTTACTGTTTCTGAGGTGTGAGTGGGGGTAGAGTGTGTGTGGGTGTCATAAAACAAAACAACTGGGCAAATACTAGTGCTATTCCAGTTCTCATAACTTCACTCTGACCTCAACATTCTACATCCTTGCTTTTGCCTGAACTTAAAAACATTATTAGGAATGGTTTTGTGTGCAGATAACCTTATTATATGGGAGGTATAGATGCTAAGGCATTCATACTAGTTGTCTGGGGTGCTTTTTCCCACTTCCTGAGTCTGGGCTGTGGTTTAAACGAATGCCTGCTGACCATGTGAGCTCTGTTTTGATTTGCTTTTTATTTTGTTTTTATTTTTTTAAGTTATAGTTTTTACCTATAAGATAAGCATTTTTATTTCTAAATTCTTGGGGAATCAGACTACAAGGTTATTCTGCAAAGAGCTCAGATGAATTACTCTTTACACTGAAGAGAGTGTTAAATGCTTCTCAAACTTTAGGGTGTTTATGGGACCTCACTGAAGTGCAGATTCAGATTTGGTAGGGTTGGGGGTGCAGATGCCTAGGAGTCCACATTTCTAACCGAGTTTGGTGGGGCCTGCTGGTGCGGGGATCATTTCTGAGGAATGCACTGTCCTGCTCCCCCACGTCCCCAGTATATGTGCAAATGCAATTGCAAGACCCAGCCATGGAGCAGTTCACACCGAGCTATGCCAGTGGCTCTGTGGTTACCCCTCCCAGGCCAGCTTGAGTTTACCTCAGTTTGTCTCAGAAACATTTCTAATCCTGGGATGATCCACACTTGGGGTGTCCTCACAGAATCCTGGGTGCTGCCTGCCCAGCAGCCTGGCACCTCTTGTTTCATCTTTAACTCTATTTTACTTTCATTCTATTCATTTAATTTCATAAAAATATGTCACTTGCCTTGGGATTTCTCCTAGAAAATTGGCTAATAGATATGATTTAAAGAAGCCTGGGTGGTGTATTGCGTAACACGGGGCTGCTAACCAAAAAGGCCTGCAGTTCGAATCCCCTGGCTGCTCCTAGGAGACCGACTGTGTCTGCCCATAAAGATTTACTATGTGGGGAA